TGTGCAATACGTGTTTTTCGTCATTAATTCTAGCACTATGACAGCTAACAAAGCACTAAGATTTCATTTATAATGCAAAAAGAATAACCCACATCTCTCACATCAGTCAGGTAGAAGGGGAGTTAATTTATGTAGGCACACCACTGGAATTATCCAGGATTTTTTTCCTAACAAAAGATAAATGTACTAACAAAGTGGTCATGACATTTCTGATGCCACATGCAGCTACAGAGAGACCAACAAAGCATGAACTTCAACTTGTCAGATCAAGAGGAGCCAATTTTCAAGCACTGCAGCTCTCAAAATTTGCACACTGTAAAAATATAGTTTTGATACTTGCTGTAAACACACATTTCCAGACCTCTGTTCATAGTGCAAGCCATCACTTCTGGTTCACTTCCATTTGGTTACACAGCAGCAGGATTCCTCTCCCTACACTGCGAATTCTGGGCCAAACATTTCCTCAGTGCTCAGAGCTTGCCCAAAAACACAGATCTTCCCTTCCAAGCAACCTATCCTCAAATAACACATCTGCCAACATTTCCACCAAGTCTTAAATTTTACAGCAGTATAATATGAAACAATATGACATTGTGAGAGGAAAAAGAAAATGCTGAGTTTCCTGCATTTGTGGAAATATAAGGGCAGAACAGATAATTAAAGGCTGAAGTCTTGCTGATGCCTGCTGCTGGCGCTTTAAAAGAAGAATATTTTAATGCTGTCACTGACATGTTTGAGAAGCCTGCCACTAGCAGTGTATCCTGAAACACTTCAGCTTCAGAATTACCTACTTCAAACTGAAAAGAAAAAGAAAAAGAAAAAGGAGTGCACAGAGCTGCATCTTTTTCCCTCTAGTGACTTCATGATCAAACAAATTCCTCGTAGGCAGATGCAATATGACAACAAGTACAATAGGTTAGAATATTTAATAGCAGTCTAATGTACTGTATCATCAAAACAGACACAGAAAACTAAGAATAGCAGATCATACAATTTTCTATGGCATTCTAATTAAGCTAGACAGATAGTAAAGAAATTATTTTGCTAACATTTGTGTAGAAAAAAAATCCAGATTGTTGACCTTCCTATCCCCCAATATAAAAGGTAAATAATCGTGACTTAAAAACACTGTCAATATAAAACCCTTCATAGCGGCACACAGGACTGAGTCTTTCCATCAAACTCATCCACGCATTTACAGTCTACTTGTTTAAAGCCCTTACAGCATTTTAAATTCCATTTTTCTTCACTTATCCTAAATAAGTCTAATGCTTGTATTGCAATAATTCATCTGTACCTGATCTGAAGCATGTATTCTAGATGCATGGATGTCTCTATGCTCCCATCCAGACCTGAAATCCTCACAATTCAGCTTATGTTATGAAGTCTGAATGAAGTTCTGATCACAGCATCCTCATCAGACAGCAGCCTGAAAAGCAAACAGCAATCTACACCTGTATCAGTAGCAGGCTGTGATTAACGTCAGTATATTACAGGTAATTTACTTTTGCCTTCATTTGGGAAGCTGACCTGAAAGTCAGTGGAAAGCAAGCCAGAGTTCCCACAAGTTTATCACAAGCCTATCCCAGCTCAGGCACATAAGAAATGGTTGCACACTGCAAGAATTTTAAATTGAGAGAGAGGGATGCTACGAAACAGAAATTAATGAGCTTTCCAAGCTTCACAAGTTTCACCTGCACTCACGAGGTCTTTGCATCCTGAACTTGAATTTCTAAGCAATACTCACAACCAGTTTATTGTAAAGACATTACAGGAGAGAAGATTAAATAAATTCCTTTCTCTTCCATTTTTCTGAATCTAGCCACCATCTCCATTCATAGTGTCTTCTTCAATTTTCTTGTCAATCAGTTTCTCACCTCGGGTAGACAATTTGAGCCACGATATCTGAGAGAAAGTTGTCCGATTACTGAGACAAATTCACAGTGCACGCTGCAACGTGCCTCAGCTTTCCCTAACCTAAGGAGGCAGGGCAGGTACCTGTCCCAAGGTTTAGTAACTTCAAATGTTCATCACTCTTTTCCAAATTCCTGCCTGTGCTGAGGCAAGAGATAGCTCTGAATATGTCACCAGAAGCAGATGGATTAGAAATGTACTTCAGGAGTGTCACTGTCCCATTAGCCAGCTGTGCATATGAATGGATATGCAGCTGTTCCTTCTGCTTAAGCACGCTGCTGGGTGATGAGAAGTTATCAGTAACATACAAGACTGAGGCAGCAGTTTGCACAATAGCAGTACTGATGGCAGCAGTTTGCACAATAGCAGTTCCTCATGGCTATGAACCCTTCCTACTTGCCATGTGTTAGATAAGCACCTGTGCTGAAACACATGGTGTATACAGACTCACAGCCAACCCTTGTGCGCCTATGCAAGGAGGTAAACATCACCATCCTAAACATCAGGTGACAAACACACTGGACTAGTTGCAGTCTCAGGATACCTAACACAGACTATAGGAACACAGGAAAATAGGTAATGTATTTCAGCCAGACCTGGAATAAACATACACTGAAGAAAAGCAAAGCTCAAAGTCAAACAGTGGGCATCACTATACCTTCTCTAATGGAGACACTAAATTTGGCCAGGTAACCAAGCTGACAATCAGTTGTAGGAATTGTGTTGTTTCTGCAACACGAAAGATATTCCTGGAAAAATTTTCAGTTTGGCTGTTGGGATGTCGGCAAATACGCCATCCCTCTTCAGAGTGCCACACTTGTTTCAGCTCATTGGTACAGCCACACACCTTTGAATAGCACAGAAATGATTGCTAGCTCTGTTTTCCATTCAGATGAAAAGATCTATCTTATGAATAGGTACACAATAATGTGCTACTGACACTGAGGAAGAAGTAATTGCAGTAGTGTTTCATGGAACTCATTAAATTAGGCCAACACAAATAAGCCATCTATTCACTTTCCTCTCTGTGTGTGAGTAGCCAGACTATCTCTCTTTTAAATGAAGGCAACCAGCTTTACTTCTGGAATACAGGCACTGTTACAAGACTTAAATGTCTCCAAAAAGAACCTGACTTTACTAAAGCAATACACATTGGTAGCTGAACTGAGGCAAGAACCAAAAGCCACTGAACAGAAAAACAGCAACAACTAGTTTGGGGAAAAATCAGCTAAAAATACAGTAGAAGGAAAAAGGTAATCTCTACAAAACCAATTCTGTACAACACAGCTGATAAATCTGCCACACTGGCAAACACTGAAGCCAAGCACAGGCCAAATAGAGAAGTGAGGGCAACAAACTGGGGCCCCAGCCCCATCGCCACATACACCTGTTGTGCCATGGCAGCAGGGAACCCAGCCACTGCAGCAGAGTCCCCCTGGCAGGTACAGCTGCACACAAGTCCTGGCTGAACGGCACCTTGCTCGTCCAAACTCATCAACTTCCCTCATGCAGGAAGCTCTGCTTACAGCCTGCGGGAAAAGGGAAAAACAACAGGTTTCTCCTATTTACATCACCTTCTTTCTATTTACATCACCTATTAGGGAACACAAGCCTCGATCCAGTTAGACCTGGAATTTTAAGTCCTTCACATAGAACAAGAGCGAGGTTCCAGCTCACGCGTCTCTCTACAACACAAGTCTTAAACACACATACTGATTCAAAGACTTCTTAAATGCCTACAGTTCGTAACCTGGACTTGCACTCTCCTAGTGGAAAAAAAGCTACCCTTTGCCCAGAAGAACAAACTACCGGCAATGAGACTGCAGAAGTAACTATAAGGGTAAATCATGTCAGATAATCCAATTTTCCCAACCCTCCTTTTAATCTAAGTATGCCATCTCATCAACAGATTCATTTTATCGTCTGTCTGAATAAAATCAAATAGCCTTCACTTCCAGGAATTAAATCCACTCTGGATTTCTTGAAATGTAATTGTACATTACAAAATCCTACCGGTGTTACTGTTTATTTTCAGTGTACAAACAATCACTGCTGGTCCTTATAAAATGACAAGTGACAGATGAACACACTCTGCAGCTCTACTGGGACAACTGTAAAAATTTCAGACTTCACTCCTACAGACCTCAGCAGTACCAGTACCTACTTAAAAACATACAATTATCAAGTTTGGAAAAGATCTGCAAGACCATCTAGTTCACCATCTACCAATATCTGGGAAACTACAGGCCTGTCAGCCTGACATCAGTGCCAGGGAAGGTCATGGAACAAATCCTCCTGGGAGAGATCACACGGCTCGTGCGTGACGTCCATGGGATCAGGCCCAGCCAGCATGGGTTTGAAAGGCAGGTTGTGACCAACCTCATCTCTTACTACAGCTGGGTGACCAGACTGGTAGATGAGGTAAAGGCTGTTGATGTAGTCTACCTAGACTTCAGCAAAGCCTTTGACATGGTCTCTCACAGTATCCTTCTACGGAAACTGGCTGCCCATGGCTTGGACAGTTTTACCCTCCGTTGGATAAGGAGCTGGCTGGAGGGCCATGCTCAATGGGTGGTGGTCAGTGGAGTGAAGTCTAGCTGGAGACCTGTTTCAAGTGGTGTCCCCCAGGGGTCGGTGCTAGGGCCCATCCTGTTTAATATCTTCATTGACGACTTGAGCACCTTGTCCAGCCCTCGCAGATCAGCTTGGACCATGGTCATAAGTTCTGGGCACTGATGGTATAGTCAGTGCAATGATTGCGTTGCTGGCCAGAAAGACTGCTTACACATCAGTGCAGAAAATAACCCAGCACTTCTTCAGGAGGGGAAACTGTTTACGAGGCTGGATAGTGATAGGACAAGGGGAATGGTTTTAAACTGAGACAGGGGAGGTTTAGGTTGGGTATTAGGAGGAAGTTTTTCACACAGGGTGGTGAGGCACTGGAACAGGTTGCCCAAGGAGGCTGTGGATGCCCCATCCCTGGAGGCATTCAAGGCCAGGCTGCATGTGGCTCTGGGCTGGGGTCTGGGGGGGGGGGGGGGAGGGGGGTTGGTGCTGCATAAACTGCAGGTCGTCGTAGCAAAGTGAATATGACACATTTAATAATTTAAAGTAATTTAATGTAATTGAACATAAAATAACATAAAATGCCATAACATAACATAATCTAATGGAGTCCCACGCTGTCGCAGTCCAAGGTGGTGTTGGTGGACAGCCCAAGTTTGGAGGGGTTGGGGCCAGTGCCGGTGCCCGTGGAGCACTGCCGCTGCTCTGTGCGAGGGCCGGCGAGGAGCCCAGGGCTACAGGTAGCCTTATTTGTTGGCTATGTCTCCTGCTGCAGCCGTGTCTCCTGCTGCACCACATGGGCTGGTTTCTGCAGATGCTCCCGTTTTTGCTGAGCCCACCCAGCTTCGCCTAGCGTGAGCGCTTTTGCTCTGGAGCATCTTGCCTCTGCGACAGCTTCCTCTTGGTGGCTTGGATGCTGCCAGTGCTCTGCTGGTGCCCACTGGTGGTGCAGGCAGGGGCTGGGCACTCAGCCGAGTCAACATCCATGCCCGGGATGTTGTCCGGGACCTCTTTGGGTGCCACTTCTGGAAGAGAAAGAAAATTACCACAGGGTTTAAGCCAGCTTTCCCACACCAAATGGGCGCAAACACTCCCCCGCCAGCTCTGCTGCCCCCAAACTCACCACTGTTCATCCAAGCCAGGAGGTCACCAATGTCGGTGATGTCCTCTGGGATGTCTGAGCTGGTTGTCGCTGCTGGAAAAGCAAGAAAATGCACAGTGAAGCAATGCCATCTTTCCCACAGCCACCCGGTGCCGCCAGCCTGCCGCCCACTCTGCAGCCCCCAGACTCACCACCTGATTCCAGCGCTGCAATGCTACAGGTGAGCGGAGCCATAGTGGGATGGGGGCACATGCTGATGGGTGCTGGCTGCTCCTGGTCCTCCGTGTGCACCACGGCATCTCCAAAGGGCTCCTCCTCCTGCTCGAAGATGGTGGGCAGGGTGCCGGGCACGAGGTGCACCTGCTGCTGCACCGGAGGTCCTTGGAGGACAGTTGAGGGTCCGGGGTGGCTGGGAGCCTGCAGTGGGCAGCTGCCTGTGGGCTGCAGGGGCTGCCCACGCACTGCGGCCCCAGGCTGCAGCCCCATCGGCTGCTGGGGCTGCATCGTCCCTGCCACCGGGGGATGATCCCAGCAGTGGGCAGGAGCACTGGGGGGAGGCATACCCGGCTTCATGCCCCCGGGTAGGAGCACGAGCAGGAGTAACTGCTGCCCCCCAGGTTAGAGATGACCTACAGACTGTGGGCAGCCCCTCAGGAGTGAGCTGAACCACAATGGGAGGTACCCCCTGAGGTGGGAGCTGACCCATGGTTGGGGGCTTCCCCCCATTTGGCCGCTTACCCACAGCTGGGGGCTTCCTCCCACGTGGGAGCTGACCCACAACCTGGGGGACCCCTCCCATGTGGGAGCTTTATTATATGACATTAGCACCAGGTACATTCAGAGAAAAGGTATGGTTAAAGATGAGAATACACAAAGCCAAGAACCCTGCCTCAGTTAGGCATGAGAGGTGATGTTTAATGTGTTAAATTCATTTGACTGCAAACTCAACTTATACAGCTTCATTAAGGAAAGAAAACAAAAAATCACCTGCAAAGTGAACACAGATCCAGCTGCCACTATATCAGCTTCTTGAACATACACATAACTACATTTTTTCCCAGGCAATTTCCTCATAGAAAGTTTTCCAAATGCATTATATGTACAAACAACAGTAATGGTTTGTCCTGTACCAATTGCCAGAATCCCACCCAGTCACTCTCTCACTCTTCCATGGAAGGAAGATGAAAATAAGATGGAAAGGCTCATGAGCTGAGATAAAGACAGAGAGAGCAGATACCATCACAAGCAAAACTCGGGGTCCTGGTGGACAATAAGCTGGATATGAACCAGCAGTGTCCACTTACAGCCCACAACACCAACTATATCCAGAGCTGCATCAAAAGAAGGGTAGTCAGCAGAGAGAGAGCTGACTGTCCTCCTCTACTCTGCCGTCATGAGACCCCACTTGCAGAATTGCATCCAGGCATGGGACCACCAGCACAAAGAAAAACAGGGAGCTGTTGGAGCGGGTCCAGTGGAAGCCACAAAGATGAGCAGAGGGCAGGAGCACATCTCCTGTGAAGAAAGGTGGAGACAGCTGGGTTTATTCAGACTGGAGAAGTTCCAAGAAAAATTCATGGCAGCCTTCCAGTACTAAAAAGTAGTTTATAAACATGAGGGAGAGTGACTTTTTACACTGTCTGATAATGATAAGACAAAGGGGAATGGTTTTCAACAAAAGGAGTGAAAATTTACGTAGGATGTAAATGGGAAATTCTTTAGTCAATAGGGCAGTGAGGCATTGGCATAGAGAAGCTATGGACGCCTCATCCCTGGGAGCACTCCAGCCAGGGTGGATGGGGCCTGAGCATCATGACCTAGAGGCTGGCTACCCTGCTTATGGAGGGGGATGGATCTATAAGGTCCCTAAACAGAACAAAGGAAGGAAGGGTTGTCAGTCCAGAACACCTCATCTCAGCTGCTCCTCACAATTTTCTCCAGCATGGGCCCTTCCCAAGGCCCGCAATCCTAGAAAAACATGCTCCACCACAGGCATCTCCACAGGCTACAGAGGAACCTCTGCTCAGCACCTAGAGCACCTTCTTTTCTTCCTGTCCTTCTTTCCTTCCCCAGTACACTGCATTTTTATCCTTTCTTTGACATGCTTTCCTAAAGAGACCGCCAGCTTGGCTGATGAGCTCAACTATCGCCTGAGTGGATCTTCTGGAACCAGCTACGTCTTGCATGGGGTGGCCTTGTGAACAGAGGCCTCTGCAGCTCCCACGCCACCATGTGGGTATCTGCAGCCAGTGCTGCTGCACTTACTGAAGGTTAACAAAAACATCTGAAGACTTCACTGAGAACAAAATGCACTTACTAGAGCACACCAAGGGTGGATTTTCACAGGCGTTCATGAGTAACAGATCTGGCTTTCAGCTTTAGAGACCAGGGGAAGAAACACAGCCCACCATTCTGCAAGGCTAGCTAGTTTTTTATTTATAATTGCTCTCAGCAAACTTGATCCGTTGCCACTGAGATCAAATTCTGTAAAACCAAGTGTTAGTCATTAAAGGCATAAAACAGCATAGAAGCAGAGAAGCAAAGACGAAAAACAGAACTTAATTTCTTTTGGCTTCAGCCAGATTCAACAGAGCCTTAAAAACATCAGCACTGCGGCTGTGCATAATCACATGCAAGAGTCAGGTTTTTTTTTTTGCTTTATGACATTTACATAAGCTTATACTTTATGTCTGTACTTCCACACAAAAGCACTTAGACGGATAATCAGGAGTGCATAAGAGCACTTAAGTACTGCATGACGAGTACAATACAGTACAACAGAATGATAATTTTGATTGAGCAGATTTTATATTCAGACCTGTGTGTACCTCTGTGCTTAGCTGTGTTGTAGTACAACTCCAAATACCTCATCACAGCACTGAAGTGCTCAGCATGTACAGGACATCTCTTGGTCATTTCAGAAAGTGTTCTGCCACATCACCTTTACATATACAAATACAGTTACTTCTGTTAAGTGCTATGTTTGTAGGAAAATGCCTTCAGGGTTGACTTCGTTCTAGTTTCACTTGCATAATTTAGATCTTTATATATGTATTTTGTATAGTCTATAACTATACAAAATCTGTGGCCTTCCAATATTTGAAGGACACATATAAACAGGAAGGGGTACAACTGTTCATGAGTGTGGATAGTGACAGGACAAGGGGGAATGGTTTTAAACTGAGACAGGGGAGGTTTAGGTTAGATATTAGGAGGAAGCTTTTCACTCAGAGAGTGGTGACACACTGGAACAGGTTGCCCAAGGAGGTTGTGGATGCCCCATCCCTGAAGGCATTCAAGGCCAGGCTGGATGTGGTTCTGGGCAGCCTGGTCTGCTGGTTGGTGACCCTGCCCACACCATGGGGGTTGAAAGTACGTGATCATTGTGGTCTTTTTCAACCCATGCCATTTATTTGATATGATTCTATTCTTAGAACCATCCTAATATGAAACTCAATAAGAACAGCTTTGCATACTGCGTATACCTTATGTCAATATACACTCCATCATATCAAGAACAAATTCAAGAAGCTTCTTCTGAAGGCTTGCAGTATATAAATGTCATTAACCCACTACGCAGTGAGTTATGTGCCACATACAATGCACTAAAGCTACAGTGATTTCAGTCCTTAAAGCCTGCACTCTAGCTTTATATTTACAGTAAACAAATATCTTGTATATTGCTAGGAGAATATATTTTGCCCACAAGTTTATTTAAGCAGTTTAACTGTCTTTATTTGGATGCTATCTGAACAAGTACAAACACTGCACAATCACCAAAGCACACTGCAGTAGGCTTCTGTTTGCAGTACCATCAGAGATTGAAAGCAGGTCAAGCCATTCTTTTTATCCACATCTCTTCACGGGTAAGGCAAACAATGTAATTTCTCCATGTTTACTTACATGCACATATAACATCTTTAAGGATTAATATCATATGCAATGGTACTGCTTTGTCTCCTAGGAGATAGGCGAATCTGTTTAGAAATAACTATGCCTAAACATAGGAAGAAGCTGCCAAGGAGTTACTGCGTGTAGGAAGAACGTTCCTGTTAAAAATCTAGGCAGACAGAAATCACAGCCTTCAACAGGCAAGGCATTTGAAAGATGGACTGCCAAACTCGAATCTAAACAGAAAGGATTAACACACCAAACACCTGTTAATTCTCTCATGAAAGCATATTACCTCAACTATAATCAAAGAAAACAGACATTAACAACTAGTGAAAAACACCACACCACACCCACAAGTGCTCCAAACAAGTCAGCGAGGCTCCCACTTGCCAACTGGCAAGTCCCAAAGCATCCCCAATTCCTGTACATGCCAGAACATCAGCCCACTGGTATCACATGATAGCTAGCCTGAAGGCAGTACCCCCAGAACACATACAGAGCAAATGCAGTCCCTAGCTCCAGTTGTTTCATTCTGCTAATCCATCCCCCCCACGCAACACTACTTGTTTCCAAGGGACAGACTGTCGCCGCTGTCCCGCTTGTTTTGTAGGAAGAGGATTTCCTTACATCCTTCCTCATGTAAGACTCATCTTCAGACAACCACAGCATCCATTTTCCAAAAGCCACACACAAGAAATTTTAGCATTAAATAATGCAACATAATCCATTAACCTCCCACATGGAAAAAAAATTAAAGACAATGTAATCATAGGGAGAACAACTGCATAACTTAAAATTTTGTTTATAACAAAGCAACTGTTTTTAAAAGAATTGCAAATAGCATGCAAGGTTTTGGTAAATGGAGCTAGCTACAGGTGCGACTGTAACAGACAATGAAAAACATTCCTGACTTGACCCAAGTTAGAGCCCAATATGCAGTTTGCTCATTCCAACTCTGGATCTGTGAGTTAATGTATCTACATTCACCATCTGCAGTTTCTGCAATTTACTTTTTCTTAATATAATTCCCATGTCAACAAAACACTACCTAAGGAGTGACACATTGGAAAAGGAGACCTGGAATTATACAACTTCAGCTCTGAAAGCAATAAAACTTGTCTCTGCTTGCCTGTAGGTCACAAGAGCACATACAAGGCTATTCCTCTGCTGTGTTCAAGGTACATCGACCCAGACCCTGGCACAGCTGCTCCCTTGAGCAGCATGCAGGTGAGCTAAGATGGCAGTTGCACTTCCCAGATGTTCAAGCGTTTACTGACATACCTAAGTTCAGATGCAGTCTTTCTCCTCACCCTCAAACAAGTTTACACCTGAAGTGCCTGCTGGTGTGGCTTTTAGATTTATATTTTTAACATGCAGTCAGTTTCTGTTTAATGCCCCCCCCCACAATAATGCTAATAGCTACATGTTTTGAAGAATAAGATTTACTGAAAACTATGGAAGATTTCCTCTTGCGTATGTCATTACACCTTAACTGAACCTCTTTTCTCCTTTTGCTTGTCAAGTGTCACAGCATTACCCTGCCTGTAGCTCTTCTACTGCATGACTAGAGGCTTTTACAAGTAACCCTTAGTTTCAGTTCAACCCTTAGTTCAGCCATTATTATCGTGATGGGAACTTAAAACTAAGCATTTGAGTTGGGATAGAAGCAAATGAGGGGAGATTGCAGAAGGAGCTGCCAGACACGAAGGTAATGCTAAGCAGAAAGTGATAGCACTGTAAACCACTACAGATTTTTTTCAACCCAGTGTCATCTTCCTCAGAAAAGCAGATGTCTAACAACTATCTAAATACAGGCTTT